ATTATAGATAATGTTTCTATGGCTATAAGTGTATAACACTAAAGAGGAAAAAAAGACAATCATTTTTTATTTATTCCTTTTTTACTCTTTTTTTTATAAGAGTTATGTATATACAACTAGTTAAATATCTTTTTTTTTTTTTGTTTAAGAATCTCAAATTGAGTATTAAAAATGTGATTTTTCACTTTGAATAGATGGATTTTATATATTTTAGTTTACTCTTTTAGCCATAATTTCATTAATATTTTGGATGAGTTAAAAGTGATTTTTTAGATTTTATATGATTTTTTTATTTGTGAAAAAAAATTGAAATGCATGAAATTAGAAAGTTTAAGATTTAAGTGAAACTCTTTCAAACTATTTCAAACGTTTAGGACTAAACTGTAATAAGAAAAGTTAAAATTAAGGATCAAATTAAATAAATTTGAAGTTTAAGGATCAAAGTGCATAAGAATTAAAAGGTGAGTAACCAATAGTGTCATCTTACCATTGAAAGTCAAAGGATTTGAACGGATGTATTGACAGTGTAATAATAACGTTGGTGAATAGAGGGCAATGTTTGGCTCTTTCTAAAGTTCAAGAATATTCATGAAGTAGAAAGATGATAATAATTTCTCGGCAAAGTGGGAGGATATTTGGTGGCATTAAATTATTAAATAATTAATGAATGGTAATATATTAATTTTATAAAAAAAAATTGAAAGATAAATTTTCTTATAATTTTTTTATAATGTTTACATATTATTTATTGATTATTTTTTTATCAATTAAATTTCTTAATATCATATATATATTTATTTAATAATATATAAATTATATAAAAAATTACCGTTATATCATTATTCATTATTTAATTATAAATAGAGTCACGCATGCTGATAATTTTTCTACATTAATGGACAAAATATTGCTATCGTGGTATCGTTGTTGTTAAAAAAAATTTCTTGTTTTGTTCGATGTGAATGAGCAGTCTCAACGGAGAGCTTAAGAACCAAATTATGAATCTCATGGGAAAGCTAAGCTAATATAATTCGAATATAACTAAAAAAAATGATTTTTTTTTTTTTTTTTTTTTATGTGTGCGCTCGACGTACCATTCGGTTTAAGCTAGACACTCACTATAGACTAAAAACCGAACATGAAATTAGCAATTAGCAGTTTAGAACTAGTCTCGAAATATTAGGTGAATAAATAAAACCCTTCAAAATATTAATAATTTGTTAATTTGAATGAAAAAATTTTGGTTCTTTTTAAATAAAAGTTTAAATTTAAGTTTCACAAAATTTATAAAATCTAACTTAACTGAATTTTAAATCAATATAATTTTTAAATATCAAGATATTAATACTAAAAAAACCTTTAAAATAATTTTTACTAGTAAATAAGTTTTTGATGATATCCATTGGGTTGGTTTGAAGTGGTAAAAAAAAAAATAAACATATATGAAATGCAAAGTTTTGAACCCTTTTATTGTTATTTAAGAGTGTTGAGAGATGAATTTGTATAGCTTTGAAATTGATGACGTGTGCAGCTCCACAATTAACAAGGACACACATGATCTATTTTTCATGTCAAATATGTAATTTTTATTTTTTGCTAATTATTGCAACAGAGTTAGCATTGCTAGGAGCGACATTCATCAACTTTGCTAGAAATATTGTAGGTGTAACCTACTCTAGCATCTATTTTTATATATATGACTAAACATGGCCATATCTATCTTTACAACATGACTGGGTGTTTTTGATGGTCATGTCCTTTGTAACGATACGCACTACCACATCTTTTGGTTCCCATTAATAGACAACAAGTTATATTTACATAGCTCCCAACAATGGACAAAGGACCACATTTGTTATCTCATTTAGCCTCCAACAATGGACAAAAGGGTACACATCTCTACATATTTCATTACGCCTACTCTCGACAACAAACAAGGTTGGAGTGCTACATACTACATCTCATTAGCTCTTAGAAATGAACAAACAAGTAAGTGCAACTTGATACAATCAACGTGAGGCTGATAACAGTTGCAACCCTGTGATTGGACGAGATTGCTACAGTCCAGTGATAAAAATCTATCAAGTAGCGATCAGCAGTCTCTTGGTGGTTGCCTATGCATGGTGGTGTGGTGCTTGGCAAGCAACAACAACTAGGACCATCCCCTGACGGTGCGGGTACGACAAGAAGGATTAACGTTTGTAAGTGGTATCACACCTTGTTGTATCAAAGGCTATAGATGCGGCTAGCATCCCCCTTCGATGGAGACAACTCCACCTCTCTCTATCACATATTCATCGCTATGGCAGAGTCTGGCTTAGCGAGATTTACCCCTTCGCGACTTGGCAGATTAATGGGAGTACTCTTTCAATTCCATATAGTTCACACTCCAACCATGGACAAAACTAGCCACTGTTGTCTTTCTAGTTATGGGGAAACTATTCATGGCTGACCTTGTGATATTTACATGGCTAGTGGCCATGCACATCATTATTCTTTCACAAAAAAGGACAAAATTACCGATCGTTGGTAATCTCGATTCATAACATATTTCTTCTATGTTTTACGTGTTAGTAGGTATCACCAACCAATGATACTTAGACCAAGACAACGATATCACAACACACATCCATATACCTCCTTCTTTATCTTGGCACAATACCAACCATATAAAGCAGTATTATACAAGTGCTTGACATGGCCAGCAGACAAAAGGGCGAACAAACTTTCATCAACATCATCCCCTTTACTACACAAGGGAGTACCCTTCTTCACTGCACATATCCATACATTTTATGCTTAAATATTTGAATGTAACTCATTCATATTTTGCTTTCATTGCAGATAAACACAAGCTTATGAATCCAAGCTCATAGGAATTACTTGAGATAAACTATGGGAGTAGTGGCTTGGCAGGTATGGATGGGTGAATGCTGCCCATTTGTTGAAGCAAGATATTTGTGTTAGCGAAGCTTGGCACTAGCAATGTTGCTCGACTTCCCTAGAGAAGGCTGAGTGGCAAACACATGAAAATGGACTTGATCTGCAAAACCATACCATTTGATATTAATTAGAAGCTCAAAATCCTGTTGAAAACTAACTAGAGATGCTGTTTTAGTCTGCATCAGCAAGTTGCAGCTGTATTTAATGCAAATGTGGTTGCACAAGTTACACTGTGTTGGAAACTGTTGAAAAATATTGCATTTTGCTTGGGAAATTTTCCTAAATCTTGGGTAGATTTTATATATGCTAGCTACACTCAAGTGCCCTCCCAAAAATAGAATTTCATATGATTGAAAGAATTACCAAAAAATAGATAATTTCTAGTCCTTCGTTGGAGTCAGCGGAGTTTTGTTGAAATCATTGGGTAATTCATAATATCATTGTTAAAGGCTATTAACAGTGCATAGAGCCACTAAAATCTTGACAACTCACCCAAATATACCCATTAGCCACTATACACCTCTAACCCATTAACCCAAAAATTATGAAAATGTCATTGCACGTAGATATTATTTTTCCTTCATTTGTCAACATACAAGAACAAATTTTCCACCTCCAACTCTCTTCCTCACACACTAGACCTCCCTTCTTCCTTTGAAAAATACTCCATCCACAACCATTCACTCTACACACCAAAATCGCCCAAAAACCACTATTTTCCTCACATTTTTTGCACCTCCAACACTACAAAATAATTTCCAGATTTGCAGAGTATCATGGCTGGGAGGTAACATGCTTCAATTTCTGCTTCTAGGTAACTTTTCTTGAGCATCAGTGGATCAAGCTGCAAAGTTAGCATCAAAGGGGGGGGATCAAGCCACTGCACCCACAAGCCCCCAAATAGTCATCCTTCCTTCTCCCATCACCACTCCTAAGTTCATTCCTCTTGTTCTTGAGAAAACTTCAAAGGGGGAAATTGTTGTATTTTATATTTGCATCATGAAGGTTTCACATTATAGAGTGAAAGTATTTGTAAGAGATAATAAAAGGCACATTTACTGTTATTATTATCATGTTACAATATTTTATGTATAAATGTATCGTTGAAGTTGTGATTCTTAATCTTCATGTATTTACCGGCCTTGATGTTCCTACCACAATGTGTATTTGCTTTTCATACCTTTTGGTAGTTGTGTGATCATTCTCAGCTCTTTGAACTTCATCACCCTTGCTCATCTCTCCACTTCACGGCTTGACTAGAAAATTTATACTTTTAAACTCTACTGGCGAGTTTGCTATTGAACATCATTTTTGGACAGAATGAGACGGCCTGTAGCACGTAGCCTCTTGCATGTGAAATGAGTGTTGCTAAAAGGACCTTCCTCATTTTTTTTACAAGTGGCATCCTAGTCAACCTCCACATCATTGTTGCTGCTGACTCATCAACCCACATCACCAGCACACCCCAACAAAGAGTAAACAATTTTAACAATTATATCTACCACTCATGAATAGAGATTTAATTTGTATTTATAGATAAGGTAACTTAGAAATATATTCTTATAATATTAATCAGTCAAAAATCATAATAAAAAAAAGTTCTAAATGAAATTTAATTAAATATTAATTTTAGCCCCTCAATTTTAAAATTTTATATAATTTTCTTCTCTTTTACAATTTTAAATATTTTTTTATCTCTCAAACTTTAAAAACAGAATAATTTACGTCCTTCCCTGAGTTAAGTATAGCATGAACAATTAAAAGACTACAAATGGCATTTTCCTTTAATTTTTAGTAGTACAACAATTACACATCATCATATAAACTTACCTCTAGACCTTCATCTGACTTGGCCTTATTTTTATCCACATAACCTAATTGTATGTTGTGTCAATGACACCTCATCAAAAAAATTTAAGGAAAAATGTCATTTTAACGTACAGAGTGGTAGGAATGACATAGTTTTCATAGTTGAGGGATGATAATTATATAAAATTTTAAATTGAGGATTAAAATTAACATTTAACCATAAAATTTTAGTGGTCAACCTACCTCTAGACCAACAAGACAAATCTCTTTCATCCACTTTAGAGAGATTTGCTACTATTTGTAAATTTAGATGTTGATTTGCCACTAATAGCTTATTTAGTTAGAGGAGATAAGGATAAAATTTTTTTATTTAATTAACAAAAATATTGAAAGGAAGAGTTTTTCCCCTTTTTTCTTTTAATTTCTTTTATATTTTAATCTAACTAAAAAGAAATAAAAGAGTTGGGGAATAGAAGAAAATCCTTTTCCTTTCTTTTTTCCCCTTTCCTCTCTTCTTTTTGTTTTTCTCAGACCAAATAAGTAGAGTTCCATCAAGAAATATATCTTTGTTCCTTAAAAAATATTCTCATGGTTAAGAATTTAAACTTCTATATTAAAAGAATTGAGTTCAAATCTTGGATTAAGTGGGAAATGACTTGAAAGGAAGAGAGCTAATTTAAATTGGCTGTTACTCCTCCTCATAATGCAATGTCAATTTGGAATGCTAATTTGGCTATTACTCCACATAATGCAGTGTAAAAACACAAGGCATAAGAAAAAAAGGCAAATTTAATGTCACCTAAAGTTAGAACATAGGAATGAGTTCGTGGTAGTTTTTAAATCCTTCTCAGATCATGTCTGTCCTTCTTAGCTCTGATTGCAACTAAAATGTTATCCAATAGTCACTGTCGCAAGACAACTTGCTTTTCTCTTTCACTTCCTTAATGCAATGCTGCCCTACATTGAACATGGACGTTTCCATCTCCTCAATAATTCTCTAAAATTAGCTTAAAACCACCACCACCCTCATTCTTCTACTTTATTCCCAGATTCAATGCCCATAATCTGAATGCAATTCGCGAGCTCAACCAGAGAGACCTGCATAAAAATACTAATCACGCATTTGTCCAATGATTAAAGAAAATTTGAGGTCCTAAAGTTGAAACCAATAATGTTAACAAATATCTATAATAGTGGTAAGTGGTCAAGGTTTACATATGAAATACAAGCATCAAAGGAGGGAGAGAATAGAGTATTACTAGTTATCTGGACTCAAGTGGGATTGAGTGGTCCAGGAAAATGAAGAATGGACATGCAAAAATACAAGGCCGTCCAATAAACA